GCACACCGTCGAACACTTATTAGTATTTCATATACCGTTTTCGAGTCGGAGATAAACTACATAATTGATTTACTACAGAATTGATTTCCTCGCCGAGACTGCGAGAAGAGAACGTAGACTGTTCGTAGATCCACGATCGTTATGCGCCATGTTCGTCGATTCGGCGAGAATTTCAATTTCGGGGGTAAGCCAATTCTGCAGTCGATCTCCTGCTCGAGTTTTGTTCCTGCTGCGACTCCTTCATCCTTCCTGCGGGGCCGCAGGACGCGGTCGCGGGTCCACCCGCGAAGAAGGTGAAGGCCGGCAGGGAGGATCAGGAGGGAAAAAAACACACAGACACAATTAATCCTCTATTCCCAGGAAAATATGGGAAAATATGGGAATTGGGGGAGAAGACAAAAACCCAGAAAATATGGGAAAATATGGGGACTAATTTTATTTGTGTGTATTTATTTGTGTGTCCTAATTTCCCTTTAGAGGAGGCAGCTGTGCCGGCGCACTGGCCAGCAGGCTTCGTGCCGAACCCGAGGGCCACGGTGACCTGGCTGCCACCAGGGTGGGGAGCCTCAGAGAAGGCAAAGATACCGATGCTCAGTATCGTTTCTCACCACCCACCAAACCACCCCAACCCAACCCGAAGGCTCAGATTTACCCTCGGTTTCTAGTGGGGGGGGGGTCCGGGAACATCGAAAAAACACATGTGGAACCCTTACCCCCCCCAACCCGAAATTCGGGTCTTCGGGTTGGGTTGGGGTGGTCTGGTAGGTAGTCACTTATCCCCATCCCCACCAGGCCATTTCGGCAGCAGATTACGGGAGCCTGGTATACCCTCTTGATTCCGTCTTTGGCGTCGAGTAGCGTCCATTAGCGTTTGGGAGTCGATGATATAGCGCCGATTCAGCGTCCATTAGCGTCGATTTAGCGTCGGCTAGCGTCAACCAGCGTCGATTCGCAAGAGCCGTCAAGAGCTGCCACCAGGGTGGGGAGCTTCAGAAAAGAAATTGATATCGATGCTCAGTATCGTTTCACCTACAGTGGGGGCGAGCATCAAGAAGCCATACGCTTTTCGTCAGGGCACCCGGGGTCTCTTCGCTCCGCGCGCTGCGCGGCGATTTCCCGCGGCCGTGAAAGAAGCTGCTGCGTTCAGGGTGCTCCGGGTTTCCCCTCAGGTGCACCTCGCGCGCGAATTTTCAGGGCTTCGTTTCTTGCGAGGGTTTCTTGCGGCCGCGCCCGCACTGTATCCCCATCCCTGGCGGGCCATGGTATCACAGCTCCACCACACTCCCCCAGTTCGAGGACAGGCCCGGCGAAGCCCGAAGGGATCAGCCTACATCCCCATCTAGTGGTGTAGATCGGCCAGTGGGGTCAAGGCCATGCCAGTGGGGATGCGGATCGGCTCAACGATGCTCAGACGCCGCTGTCCTTCCCTCGTTCTCTTACGATGCGTCTTCAAGGGGCATCGCTTTTTCCAGACGATTTTGTAATTTCTGAGATTCGAGGCGTGGTCGTCGCGGGCTCGGTGTGGCATCGGTGTGGATACGACGCAGATTTTGGCATGGACTCGACGCGGGTTCGACGCGTTCGACGTGAGTGCGATGCGGAGTCGACGCGGACTGCGGCGAGACGGGACCGACGAGGCCCCCCGAAGGTGCAACCGAAGTTTTCGCTTTCCGGGGCCTCCTGAGGGGGGCCCTCGTCGCCACGGCTGGACCCGCCGCGGAATCCTGGGTTCCGCATCCCGCTCGGCACCTTCGCTCTCGACTTCTGGACGCAGATCGCGCAGTGGGGCGGCCCGCGCTGCACGCAGTGGGGGCACCTGGCCGTCGCCACCATCACGCGTGCTGCTGTGCACACTTTCCCGAGCTGGGACGTGCTCCTCCAACAGATGCGGAACCACGTGCGCTCCGCCCCGACCGACGCCACCTTGTCCATGCTGGCGACTGGCAAGCCGTACCCTTCCTTCTGGTTGGCCCCCGCCTTCGTGGAGAATCTGGCTCTGGCCGCAGCTGGCACCCCTCCGCCTGGCCCGTTGGCCGCCTTTGGTGCACGTGCTGCTGACGCTGCGCTGGCTGAACTTCGAGCGGGCGACCGTCCTCGGCCTCGCCCTCAGAGAGCTGCTCACGATGCGCTGCGGGCCTACGCGATGCTGAGCAGGCCCATCACCGACCTCTTCTTGGCCCGCCTGAGGAAGTTCGCTGGCAGATCTGCGGGCCTCCTTTCGAACATCGACTGGGACGAGTGCAAGAGCGTCCTCGCCCGCTGCCCGTGCTCATGGGCTATGGCCGTCCTGCGCACGTGGTCTGATGGTTGGATGACCTCGGCCCGAATCATCTCACCCGACGGCCAGAAGCACTGCGTATTCGGATGTTTGGGCAAGCTCGACTCGCTGAGGCACTACGCGAGGTGCCCTGTCATGCACCGTGCCCTTCGGCAAGCACTAGCGAGACCGATTCCGTTGCCGTGGATGGACAGATGGGGTTTATCTGCACCTTCGCTGGCCACCTACTCTGCGATGGCTGCCGCGTACAACATGTACAACGAAGCGAGGCTGGCGCCCGTGTGGCCGCTGCCCCCGAGCCTGCTGCGTAGCTGTGCTCTCGCTGGTGTTCGTGCGATGCAGCTCGCGTCGCCGATGAAGTGCTCGGAGATCGACCGCGAGCAACTTGGCCGACGGGACTACCTCATTCGCAGCTTTTCTTCGTCTTCCTCTTCGGTGTCGTCACCCCGACTTACGCCGGCGGCATCTTCCTCGGACAGCGACTCGGACACCGTCTCCACAGCCATTGCTACGATCCCGTCGGACTCCGATGCCTGTGATGTTGGTCAGGCCCCAAATCGTCCGTCTCCTATGGGGAGCGGGCGTTCCATGTCGCCACACCGTTTTGCTACTGATGTGGAAGTGGGCACAGCTGGCGCTCCCTGTCCTTTGACTTCGGCGACTCCCTTCCCGCCTACCTCTGCGCCCCCGACGCTGGCGCGCTCCCCACCGACACGGAGGGCGGCCCCATCACCATCTATGTCCTTGAGAGCTCCGCGTATGGCGCCCACCTGTTCGTCAATTTCGTCGCCGTCTCCGATTTCGCGCTGCTCATGTGTGACGCCGTCTTCGCCAGTGACGGTGTCGACTGGGTGTTCCTCAGCCTCGTCGCCTCCCGTCGGCGTTAGATCGCAAGTCCCGTTGTCGTGTTCGGGCTCACTGTCGCCAAGTGCTGGATGCCTCATTTCGCCACAGCTGGGCCTTGGCGTTAGATCGCAAGTCCCGTTGTCGTGTTCGGGCTACACGTCGCTGCGTTCTGGATGCCTCGAAGGAGACCACCTCTCCTGTGGCGTTAGAATGCAAGTCCCGTTGTCGTGTTCGGGCTCGCCGTCGCCACGCGAGTGTTGCCGTGATTCAGGACACCTGTCCGTCGGCGTTAGATCGCAAGTCCCGTTGTCGTGTTCGGGCTCGCCGTCGCCACGTGTCGGACGAAATCCTGGGACGCTGGAGTCTCCCCGCCGCTGGACGCCGCCATCGCCGCCGTCTCCGAGGCGACCCTCGTCACCGATGTCCACGGGCCCTCCGACCGCGCTCTCACCCTCGGTGTCTCCGATGGCAGGGATTTCTGGCTCTCCTTCGACCCAGAGGGCGGCACCGCCACTGGCCTCACCATCATCTCCTTCTGAGGGTGTGGCCGGAAATGAGCCATCTGTATCTCCGTTCCCCGCCTCTTCCTTCGCTCCGTTGAGCTCGGCTCCTGCTGCTGCCTGCCCCTCGCCTGCTCCTCCCCCCGCGGCGCTGCATCATCTCCTGGAGGCTTCATTGTTTCCCTCCCTCACCCCGTCCTTCGCCCCGAGTTCTCGTTCGTCGCCTCCGAATATAAATACGGTTGCGCCCGACGTCGAGTTCGACGTGCTGCGCAACTCAGGCGCGCCCTGCGCGCCCCCGCCCCTGCCGCCCGCGGCAAATTCTTCGGCTTCGTGGGCTTAGGCGGGAGACTCCTTCCCTCTGTACGCTGGGCTCCTCCTCCTCCTCCTCCTCCTCCTCCTCCTCCTCCTCCTCCTCCTCCCCCGCCCCGCCAGCCCCCGTCGCGCACCGGAAGGTCTGCGTTGATCACTGTCTGCCCAGGGGTCACTCCTGCGTGCAGGCGGCGCGGGGGCTGCCCCCCAGGGGGGGTCGCCACCTCCTCCCGAAGGTCGAAGGTGGAGGGTCGAGGAGGGGGGAGAATCGAGGGTCAAGATGATCAAGGCTCGTTCTCCTGAGCCTCCTCATCCTCCTCCTCGGCCTTCTCGGCCTCGCCCCTCTCTTCCTTCTCGGCGGTGCTCGCTTCCTTCTCGACGGTGATTTCGTCCTTGTTGCAAGTCTGATTCGTATCCGTATCCTTTCCTTTCTTTCCCTCCCAGAAGGATCTTTATCCTTCTCCTCGTCCTCCTCTCCTGGCAGTGCCAAGTGGGGCCACCACTAGGTAGGTCGCCACCTCCTGAGGATCGAGGATCCAGATGGGTCGACAGGTTTTGTTGGCGTTTCGGGGCGTTCCAGGTGCTTCTTGTGGGGATCCTTCCCCTTCACCCCAGAAGAAAGAAGTCCTGCCTCACTCTGAGGAACAAAAACTGCATCAACATAACTCAGAGATCAACAGCCTCGGAGGTCCTCGCGGAATTCTTGGATCGGCACTGGGCCTTCACCTGGCGCGCGAAGCACGCCAGGGGCGGCGCCGGAGGCGCCGCCAGGGAGGTTCAGCGCAGATCCAAGAAGTCCGCGCACACCGTCGAACACTTATTAGTATTTCATATACCGTTTTCGAGTCGGAGATAAACTACATAATTGATTTACTACAGAATTGATTTCCTCGCCGAGACTGCGAGAAGAGAACGTAGACTGTTCGTAGATCCACGATCGTTATGCGCCATGTTCGTCGATTCGGCGAGAATTTCAATTTCGGGGGTAAGCCAATTCTGCAGTCGATCTCCTGCTCGAGTTTTGTTCCTGCTGCGACTCCTTCATCCTTCCTGCGGGGCCGCAGGACGCGGTCGCGGGTCCACCCGCGAAGAAGGTGAAGGCCGGCAGGGAGGATCAGGAGGGAAAAAAACACACAGACACAATTAATCCTCTATTCCCAGGAAAATATGGGAAAATATGGGAATTGGGGGAGAAGACAAAAACCCAGAAAATATGGGAAAATATGGGGACTAATTTTATTTGTGTGTATTTATTTGTGTGTCCTAATTTCCCTTTAGAGGAGGCAGCTGTGCCGGCGCACTGGCCAGCAGGCTTCGTGCCGAACCCGAGGGCCACGGTGACCTGGCTGCCACCAGGGTGGGGAGCCTCAGAGAAGGCAAAGATACCGATGCTCAGTATCGTTTCTCACCACCCACCAAACCACCCCAACCCAACCCGAAGGCTCAGATTTACCCTCGGTTTCTAGTGGGGGGGGGGTCCGGGAACATCGAAAAAACACATGTGGAACCCTTACCCCCCCCAACCCGAAATTCGGGTCTTCGGGTTGGGTTGGGGTGGTCTGGTAGGTAGTCACTTATCCCCATCCCCACCAGGCCATTTCGGCAGCAGATTACGGGAGCCTGGTATACCCTCTTGATTCCGTCTTTGGCGTCGAGTAGCGTCCATTAGCGTTTGGGAGTCGATGATATAGCGCCGATTCAGCGTCCATTAGCGTCGATTTAGCGTCGGCTAGCGTCAACCAGCGTCGATTCGCAAGAGCCGTCAAGAGCTGCCACCAGGGTGGGGAGCTTCAGAAAAGAAATTGATATCGATGCTCAGTATCGTTTCACCTACAGTGGGGGCGAGCATCAAGAAGCCATACGCTTTTCGTCAGGGCACCCGGGGTCTCTTCGCTCCGCGCGCTGCGCGGCGATTTCCCGCGGCCGTGAAAGAAGCTGCTGCGTTCAGGGTGCTCCGGGTTTCCCCTCAGGTGCACCTCGCGCGCGAATTTTCAGGGCTTCGTTTCTTGCGAGGGTTTCTTGCGGCCGCGCCCGCACTGTATCCCCATCCCTGGCGGGCCATGGTATCACAGCTCCACCACACTCCCCCAGTTCGAGGACAGGCCCGGCGAAGCCCGAAGGGATCAGCCTACATCCCCATCTAGTGGTGTAGATCGGCCAGTGGGGTCAAGGCCATGCCAGTGGGGATGCGGATCGGCTCAACGATGCTCAGACGCCGCTGTCCTTCCCTCGTTCTCTTACGCTGCGTCTTCAAGGGGCATCGCTTTTTCCAGACGATTTTGTAATTTCTGAGATTCGAGGCGTGGTCGTCGCGGGCTCGGTGTGGCATCGGTGTGGATACGACGCAGATTTTGGCATGGACTCGACGCGGGTTCGACGCGTTCGACGTGAGTGCGATGCGGAGTCGACGCGGACTGCGGCGAGACGGGACCGACGAGGCCCCCCGAAGGTGCAACCGAAGTTTTCGCTTTCCGGGGCCTCCTGAGGGGGGCCCTCGTCGCCACGGCTGGACCCGCCGCGGAATCCTGGCCAGAATGTGCCCAGGGAGAGATCGGCAGAGCAGCGGCGTCGGCATCCAGATGTCCCCCCAGGAGCGGCGACGAGGATGACCTCGGGTGGCAGGATGGCCCGCTGCTACATAGGTCCCAAGGCCGAGATTGCCTGGAGCAAGAAGAAGGTGGAGCAGCTGGAGGGACGGACGCTGGAGGCGAGCAATCATCCGAAGAAGGAAAAACCAGCGTAAAAATGAATGTGTTGGAGCTAAGCACAGACTTCTCTGATCGGCCCACTGTCTCTCTTTGTTGTCTTCATCCGTGCAAGCTCGGTTTGCCATCAGTGCTGCACAGGCCAAGGTTTCGTGTGCAAGCTCGCCTACTGAAGGCTGGTCCTTGCGTGACTCCAGGTTTGCTTGGTGCATTTCCTGGACACCATCATACGCAGGGATTCGTTTTTGATCCGGAAAATCTAGACGCTTCGCATAACCCCACCAGCCTGTGCAGAAACGATGCCCAGATGAATTGCCTTGATCACGGATGTGGAGGAGCATGCAGTGAAATAAAGGACCGGTTAAGACCAGGGAACGTAAGATTCGAGATCGCACGACACCGGTTTTGCGTATACTTTTTGACGAGTCCCGTCCCGGATTTTGACGGTCCCGTTTTCGTGGGATGTTTGCAGCGGGAGTTCGCGCCAGATTTCGGGTCTCGCCATTTTTCTGATGGTCCCGTCAGGCCAACCCGAGTCCCCTGAACCGAGTCTTACGTCTCCCCGATAAGACTTCATATTCAAAGAGGGGGAGGATGAAGCAGCAATCGGAGGAGGAGGAGGAGGAGGATGAGGGAGATGGGCAGGGGGAGAAGGGAAGAGCGAGGAGGAGTAGGAGGAGTAGGAGGAGGAAAAAGAGGAGGAGGAGGAGAAAAAGTGCGAGCAGAAAGGCTAGAGGCTTCCTGGATGCCTCTCGGAGTCTCTTCGGATGTCTCTTGGCAGCTTGATGTAGGCCTCTTGGGGCGTCTTGGGGGCCTCTCGGCGGTCCCGCGGGCCTCTTGAAGCGTCTTGGGCGCCTCCGGGGCGTCTCTCGTGGGCCCTCTCAGGGGCACTCTTGGGAGCCTTGGAAACAATCTTGAGGGCCATCATGGAGGAGATCGATCACAGAAGGGGGGGGGCCCTATTGGGGCCCCCCTCCAGGAAGCCAAAATGGGCCTAAGACCTTGGTAGTGAAATCAATGATTTGTGCTTTCTCTCCGAGGCCAGCTCCAGCGACCCGCGAACCCTCCCATCCAGACCTTTGTCAAAGTCCTGGTTAGTAGTAGTCTGTCCCAGGGGGGGGCCTGCCCTGATATCCGACGTCGCGAACAACTTGCAGAATCGTCAACAAAAAACACACAACCAGAGCGCTAGGCCCAATCCTTTTGCAGTATGTTTCGAGCCAGTCCGATCTGTGGTGGCCCCGGTGCTCGAAACTTGGCGAGAGCGTGCGGCGAGAAAGCAATGGCAACGCCCCGATCCCAGGGGAAGTTTATGTTTATGGCGTTTTCCTTCTTCGAGCAATAGGGGGACCTGTGCGCAGGCCCCAGACGCCACTCCTGCACCTGCTGGCGAGGTCGGCATCGCCTCTGAGGCCACTGCCGCCGTGAGCACAGCTTCCGCGCCCCCGGCGCCGCCTGCCGCAGCCGAAGCTGCGGAGGCGCGCCAGGGAGAAGGGGTGAGGATGAGGAGGAGGAGGAGGAGGAGGAGGAGGAGGAGGAGGAGGAGGAGGAGGAGGAGGAGGAGGAGAGCGCCCCAGGGGGGGCCCAAAGACGCATGGCAACACCGCTCGCGCGTCTGTGCTGTCATAGAAGAGAGCGCTCCCACAGACAACGCACACAATGGACCAAGCCCGCGACCGGCACGGATTGAAACAGAAAGCGCGCTGCGTGGAGAACGCATGGAGCTCGAACAAGCCGCAGCGCCTCATAGCGGCGCGCGCTGTAAGCCAGCGGTGATATGACAGAGTCTGCCAAAAGTCTACCCTGGCTGCGACACCTCACGCTCCTTGCGTCAAGAGGCTCCAGCAGGACCCGAATATTTCAGCCAAAGGGCCCCAAAAAGGTCCCCCGAGAGGCCCCCATCCACCCTCAAATCCGAGGCTCCGCCCAGCAGGGATGCCCATCTGCGGCCCGCCCTTACAGTCGACTCGCATCGCAAGGATGAGCAACTTTCCAAGGTTATCCCTGCATCCTGCCCCTTCGGCCCATGGCTGCCGTCGCTGGCCGCGCCGCGCTCGCAGAGTGTCGACCTGGCCTTCAGGGCCCTTGCATCTTTGTCGTGCGTCCTGACTATACGGGTTGCCTGCATCTCTCGGGTTGGCCAGGGGCGGTCAACGCTCCAGACTGCCCCAGCAACTTCGCGTCCACAGGCGAGGGAGAAGTGCTGCAGCGTGCGGGTGCAATCCCGGTCAGGACCTTTTGCTTTTCGTCGGCCATGCGCGGGGGATGGCAGGGGGAGAGGGGAAGGTTTTCTAGAAACACCCCTGCTTCTAAGAAGGCGCGGGCCTTGTCTGTAGGTGTGAGGCCGGCGCCTTCTTAGAAGCCGCCTCCTTCCAAGAAGCCTTCCCTCCTCCCCCTGCCCGCTTGTTCGCGCCGCCAATACAGTCGGGGCCCTGAAGAAGGAACCCTTTTCGTTGGGGAGGGGATCCGCGTTCCTTCAGTGTTTCACAGCCTGCCTCAGGCTTTCCTTATGTTTTCGACAGGAAATCGAAGGTTAACTTATGGAAAACAGGGGCCTCGCTCCTCATTTGGGGTCCTTGAGGTCAAGGCCCCGACTGTATCGCGTCGAGTCGCCGCTCCTGGCCCAGCACGCTCTTGCGAGACACGCGAACCACTTCTCTCAGGAGGGAAAAAAACACAGACACAATTAATCCTCGATTCCCAGGAAAATGTGGAAAATATGGGAATTGGGGGGGGAGACAAAAACCCAGAAAATATGGGAAAATATGGGGACTATTTTTATTTGTGTGTATTTATTTGTGTGTCCTAATTTCCCTTTATTCTCAGTCCCCAGGCATCAGCGCACCGAGAGCCTTCGCCAGAGCCAGCCGCCCCGCGGAGCGGAGCGACTCGCTGTCTGACGGCTGCCCTCAAGTCGGGCATGTCCCTCTACAGGAGAGATATTCAAAAATAGTAAACAATAGTTTGTAGACGATGTTTCTATCACTTGTGCTACTCTTGAACGTTCTTGAACATTATTTGCATATTTTGCATCTTTCTCACAAAATCCACCTGTAGGAGGACATGCCCGACCTAAACATACCTATGCCCATAGGGGGGACGGAAGGGGGCTATGGGCGCGTGTTGTCGGATGGGGGTCCCCGCTCAAACGGGAGCCTCCCCAGAGGTCCGACAACCCGCACCCACACCCGTAGCCAGGCATCCTCCCTCCGACCCCCCCGAAGGGTACGGGCGTGAGTTGTCCGCTCGTCACCGTCGTCTTGCAAGGCATGGCGTGTCGCTGGGTTCGCCGTCGGGACGCGCGAAGCCACAGTTCCCGACTGCAGGGGCAGGGGTGAATTCGACCTCTGGAGAATACAGGGACTGGACAGAGTAGGGCACAATCATAAAGGGCACCAGCCGCCCAGAAGGATGGGTTAACACTTTCATATCTTGGTTGACCACAGGCCAGCGACGAGATTAAGGAGCTGCAGAGGGAGATCGCGGAGCTCGAGGCCAAGCTCGCCGCCAAGGGCTCAGAGCAATCCGACATAAGGAGCGCAACCATTTCCGCGCCGCCGGAAGCGGCCAAGGCGGGCGCCGCCATCGGGAGGAGGTGGACGGGGATTCACATCATGTCAGCACAGTGCGCCGCACGGATTGCCTCTTTTCTAAAGAACAGGCCTCAGACGATGGTGTACCCCCCCGCCAAATAAGGATAACATCTGATGAAGATGCTGATTCTGATGATGATAATGGTGAGGATCATGATCATGATGAGGATGAATCGGATGATGCTGACGATGATGATGCGTATCGTGGCGGTTTTGATGATGTTGATTATGGTGCTGATGATGATGGTGATGATGATGTTGAGGATGGCGATGATGCTGATGATGATGACGATGATGGTAATGATGCTGATGCTGATTACGGTGATGGTGATGGTGATACTGATGACGAGGGTATGATCTCCTACCTCTTCAGCACCTTCTTTCTCACTGCGCTGAATGCTTTTCTGTCCGCCGACTGGGGGAGTCCTGGAGGACCTGAGTCTCCGACATGACCCCATCTTGCACTGCGCATCCGAAGGGGTGCTTTGTGCATTGGGGAAGAAGAAGGCGGCGGATGAGCAGAAGGATGAGCAGGCGGAGGAGAAGGAAGTAGGAGGAGCAGGAGAAGCAGAGGGAGGACCAGGCGGATGAGGAGCAGCGGGAGCAACAGCAGGACCAGGAGAAGGCTGAGCAGGAGAAAGGAGGGGGCGACAACGACGATGAAGGTATGCGGCCCAGAAGTGTGGCTCGCGCTTGGGCGAGAGTGCCATTCCGAACGGCGGGAGGACAGCGCCGACCTTGGAGTCTGCAACGGAAGCATATCTCTTGATGGACCGAGGGCGTTCCAACTGAAACAGCGTCTCAAGCATCAGAAGGATTGGAAAGGTGATCGTTCTCGTGGACAGCAGTGCGCGGGAGAGTCGGGCGCAAACCGGCACATGATCAGGGGGAGGAGGCATGAGTAGTAGGCACGTGGAGAAGAAGGAGGAGGAGGAGGGAGGAGGAGGAGGAGGAGGAGCAGGAGCAGGAGGAGGAGGAGGAGGAGGAGGGGGAGCAGGAGGAGGAAGAGGACGGGGCAATGTAATGAGTCGTGTGACCGCCCCACAGACTCGATCCTCGCGAGGTCACCAGAGGCCCGCCTGAGGCCCCACGAGGCCGATGCCAGAACTTGCCACGACGGCGTGGAGGACGACCGAGCGAGCGACCTTTCATCCGATGCTTCTGTGCAGTGCCATTTCGGCTGAAGAGCCCCTGGAGGGCGAAAGCTACCTGCGCTTGGCACACAAAACACATCAGCACCCGAGCAGGCTTGATAGTCCTTTCGATCGAGAGGACGTGTCACGGCCAGAGCGCTGCAGTGAGCCAGGGGCTCGGGCTTTTGGGGGGCCCTCCCTCGGATGCGGGTCGGGGGGCACCTGTGCGTGGCCGGGGCTCGCCGTCTCCAGGCAAGCTTCTTTCGCTCCTTGCTCTTCGTCGGGCATGCCCCTCTACAGGAGGAATGTCAAACAATAAAAAAACAAAATCGTCGGGGGACGATATTCCGACTATTTTGGACGATTGTTCGGCTATTTCTATTTTTCTTCACAACTCCGCCAGCAGGAGAACATGCCCGACCTAATGTGCTTACTCAGCGCTTCCTGTGGTGGCCCGTCGGCTGTGCAGCTCGCGGTGCTGGCGGCCGACTCAGCGTGGCCCTCGGCGCTCCTCCCTCGCAGGCGCCCCTGGCGCCGGGTGCGGCGCCTTCGCCTGCGGCTCCGGGCAGGCCGCCCGCGTTCTCCAAGGCGGGTAGGGGCCGAGGACGGACGGGGTGCTCAGCTCCTCCTCTTCCTCCTTCTCCTCCTCCTCCTCCTCCTCCTCCTCCTCCTCCTCCGCCCTCCTCTTTCTCCTCGATCCACGATCCTTCTCTTCGATCTCAACCTCCCTCTCCTCCTCCTCCGCCCTCCTCTTCCTCCTCGATCCACGATCCTTCTCTTCGATCTCAAACTCATTATCCTCCTCCTCCTCCTCCGCCTCCTCCTTCTCCTCCTCGTCCTCCTCCTCCTCCTCCTTCTCTTCCTCCTCCTCCGCCTCCTCTTCCTCTTCCTCCTCCTCTTCTCTTCCCCACTCCTTCTCCCCCTCCCCTTCCCCCTCCTCACACAAAAGCGGAGGAGGCAGCACAGCGGCACCGCCGAGCTGCTCTCTGGATTTTTGTTACGGTCCTCCTGTGGCTTCCTTCCCAGGTCCTCTGAGCAAGTGCACACACACACACACTCGGTGACGAGTGCCGGCAACTGGAGCATATGTCCATTACCAGTGGCGGGCTGTTTTTCAAGCCCCAGACTTGTTGAGCTTCGTGGACGGCGTCGGGGTGGCGTGTACTTTTTCCCCTGCTTCCTGGGGAAACAACGAAACTCTCTACACCAGGATCCAGTATGCACCAGGAATCCGCCTTCCTGTGCGAGTTCCAGTGCGGGGCCTGAAAAATCGTCGGTGTGTAGAGTTCGGCTCCTTATATTCTTAGGTGACGAGTGAGCACGATGGAGCGTTGTCAGCTGACCGACCTGGGGATCCAGGCGTCGCCTTTGCATCACTCCGCGCCCTTGCGTTTTCCGCCGGGTATTGGGGGCCACCAGGCCCTTGGCGGATCGATCCCCAGCTTGGGAAGTACCGTCGAAAGATGGGGCCGAGGGCGCCTGTAGTGATTTCCACGGCTCCGCATTTGTTTCGCGACTTCGCGACGTTTGGATGTTCCTCTTTCTCTTCCCCCTCGTACGTTTCCTCCCTCCTCCTTCTCCGCTGACTGGCTGCGAGCGAGGGGAGGAAAACAGAAGGAGAAGGCCTTCTCAGAATGCGGCGGGACTTCTCAGAGCCATCGCGCCTTCTGAGAAGTTACCCTGTGTCTTCGGGGAAGGCTTAGGACACTTCTCAGAAGGCCCGGGAACTTCCGAGCCTTCTCAGAAGGCCCGCCCCTTCTATCGGCTATACGTAAAAGTGACCCTTGGCCAGAATGACCTTTAGTGTTGGCCCTAATGGGGTCGGACAGATTTTCTTGAGGAGTGCGCTCGGCCTCGTGTCGGCGCACGCTGCACCAGTTTGCGATCGCATCAGAGCGCGCTTGATTCAGGGTGCGCCCCTCGCAATCGATCGCAACGCATGCACGGTGCATTCTGCCGCGTGCTTCGTTTGGCGAGGGGAGGCCCAGTCGAGCGGGCGACGTGCTCTCCGCTTTGGGACTGGTCCCAAATCGTCCTGGAATAACTTTGACTAACTTTGAATAACTTTTCGCAGTCCGCGCTTTACAACTCAACTCTTTACTATTGAAAGTTTTTTGCGGCCGCGGGGGGGGCCAAGTTTCGGCCCGGTTTCGGCCTTGACGCCGGACCCGGTCAGACGTCATCGCGATGCGGCCCGGCAGTGCCAGAACATTCCGCGGTGGCGCCCGATTACGTTTGGCTTCGCAGAGCCCTCGGGCGGGTGTTTTGGGGCGCCCGGAACGAATTGGCGGAAGTCCGCAATTGCCTGCTGGCGCTAGGGATCTATCGAAGCGCGCCCCACCGATCGTTGATGCAATCCGACGGCCTCGGCTTGCGCGGTTGCTCCAGGCCCCCACGGGCCCCCCTAAGGCCGCGCACCAAAGGGCACTCTTGCCTAGGGTCACTCTTACGTGTCGCCGATTCTAACCTCCCCCCCTCGCTTGCCGCCGATCTGACCCCGCCAGCTCAATCCGCGCACGCGGGGGGCAAGGAAGGGAGTAGAAGGATGTGGCGGGTTCTAAAAAACCCTGAAGCAAAAGTCCTCGCCAGCTCTTGGGGGGACGATTCCTACTTCCGCCGGCTTTCGCCGGTCTTCCCGTTTTAAGAGCACTGCGCCCAATGCACCTTCAGGACGGACGCTTCGTGGGGGGGCTGGGGTACAAACCGGCCGACATGCGGCGCACGACGATATGCGGCGCGCGGTACGGTTATGCATATCGTGAATGGCGGGCCTCGGAGGCTAAGTACGCAACGGGCATGGCAGAGCTGGGTCACGAAGGCGTTTGCCTTGCGGACCCCCCAGTCCTCGAGTAGGGTATCGACTACATCATTGATTTACTCCAGAATTGCTTTCCCACCGGATCTACGAAAGATACGTAGAACGTTTGGCGAGTCACAGGGAACTGGACATCATTCGGGGGAACGCAAGACCCGGGTTTGCCAGGACTCGGGTTCGCCATCGTTTTTTGACGACCGCGCCTCGGATTTTGACGAGGAGGAGTTTCGTGGGATGTCTGCAGCGGGAGGCCTCGTCAAAATGCAGGCTCGGCCTCGTCATTTTTTTGACGACCTCGTCGGGGATTTCCGAGTCCCCCGTACCCGGGTCTTACGTCTCCCCGAATCATTTTCGTGCACTCGACTGGAAATCACTTGTGGGGTGAATCGATTCTATAGGCGACCCCGTACTCCAGGCCTCGCCCCTGCGCGCCCCCGCCTCTGCGGAGGCGGCCCTGCAGGAGAGGCGCCCACGGCCCCTTTGTGGGGCGTGGGCGGACGTCCAGCAGCGCCGAACAGCAGCGACGTGCACATTACACCTTAGGCGATGCTTCAGAAAACCTAAGTTTTCGTCCAGAGTCTCGATTATTCTTAACGTTTTAATGTAAATCCCAAGATTTTGATAGAAGTTCTGGGTTTTATTCAATTTCTGAGACTATGAATTTCTTAACCCATGATTTTTTAAGCATTTCGCAGGGTGTACTTTGAGATTCGCGGGCGCCGACGGTCGAGGGAGAGGGAGGAACCTTGTCTCGGCCGCGCGGCCGGCGACGGAACGCAGCTTGCCCATATTTGGCCGGTCGGCGGAACTCGGGGCCACCCCGGAACCGGCTCGAAGGCTCGCCAGTGACCAGTGCCCAAACGCATGTTCGACCAAACATTTTACTCCGTTGGTTGCGTAACTGGAGGCATGACTGTCCACAGCGTCAAAGACGTGGTTGGCCACGGCCGCGAGGACGAAGTTGCCCACGGCCATAGGCGAAGACATGTTTGCCCTCGGTGATCGCGACATCATTCTGGTTCTCGTACTGGGTGGTCGAGGCGTTGCTGGAGATTGGGGCGGCACTGACAGGCGGTGCACGGAAGCCATTGCGCACGTCCTGGCTGGGAATTGCGACTTTGCTCGGGAAGGGGGTGGCCGACGAATCCTTCAGCCGATCAGGTTTTCGACGGCCTTCTGCCGTTTCCCGCCGGCGGAGGCGGCCTCGCTTTCCCGCCGCTCTCCGCCGACCTTCCGCCGCCCTCCGCGAAGGAAGAGATGCCAAGTCTCCGTCGATCCTCGATGGCGCAGACACTCCCTGGAACGCCTCCTGCAGGAGGGAGGAGGGAGGCGATGGAGCGCCATCGTGCAGGATCACTCCCCTGGGCCTCCGACCGGCCGGCGAGGCCCTGCACGGCGTGCGCGGCTGCTGCTACGACCTCGACTGATCGCGCGGGGGGGGATGGCGCTCTTCGACGACGACGACGACGACGACGACGACGACGACGACGACGACGACGACGACGACGACGGCGGCGACGGCGACGGCGACGGCGACGGCGACGGCGACGGCGACGGCGACGGCGACGACGACGACGCTGCTGCTGCTGCTGCTGCTGCTATGGAGGGGAAAGGCGCTCCCGGCCTTCCTCCCCTGGCTTCCCTGCAGTCAACACTGGAGGAAGCGCAGACATGGGCTGCGCGCGTGGATGAGGGGCGGGCCCATTTCCATGCAAGTCGGGGCGGTCCGTCGTCAGCCGCATGCCTCAGCGGGTACTCTCTCGAGCCACGGCCCCTAACCCGTGTTGGCGTGCGCCCGATTGCCTGCAGTGTAAACGTGAAGATCAGAACAGCCTCGGCTTTGGAATGGGCTCGAGGTTCCACTGGTATCCGATCCGGCTCTCCCTGCAGCTCCTCGAAGATGTCGGCGAAAGTGTGGCCAGAACGAGGCTCCGTTCCTTGCCTGGGGTCCCTTATGGCACGACGTCGATTGCACCCCGTCAGCTTTCGCCACCGCGCCTGCTGCGCGCCGACAGTCGGATTCTGAGCCTCAGAGCTCTCGCCAGCCAGCGGGCTCGTCCCCGTTCCCGGGAGCCAAGAGACGGGGGTCAATGCAAGCGGGGGTCAGCCAGAGCGCCAGATCTTGCAGGATCCTGCGAAGACACCCTCTGGCTGACCCTGGTTTGCGAGCCGCTCGTGGCCGCGAGGCGGCCGCGCCTATTGGCTGACCCGGGTTTGCGAAGCCCTGCGTTGCAGCTTCTTTTTTTTCTGCATTGCAGTTTTTTGGTTTCCTGCTGACCCGGGTTTGGATTGACCCGGGTTAGCAGACCCCCGACGTTCTGGGAGTGCGAAGCTCTCCGCGTCACACGCCCCAGTGGTGATGTTCGCATAGAGCAGAGGTGGCGGGACTCCAGGCTGTCGCTGGAGCACGAGCGCCTGGCCTTCTTTAGAGATTTAGAGGCCTGCACAGGTTGCCCTCGTTTGATGTCCTGCCGCGAGAAGGCGTGTCGGCCCGGCGCTCTTGCCCGGACCCTGGCTTGCCCTCGCGGCTCCGCTGCGGCGGCCAGGTAAGCCTGTCGACAGAAATGGTTGCAGTGCAGTCTTTGTTTCGCACCGCCGTCCTGGTCCTCTCGCGCACGCTGGCGGCCTGTCTCGCAGAAGAGTGTGGCCCTTCGGAAGGCAGATCATGGAAACCTTGTATGCTCTCGTACAGTCGGGGCCCTGAAGAAGGAACCCTTTTCGTTGGCGAGGGGCTCCGCGTCCCTTAAGTGTTTCACAGCTTGCCTCAGGCTTTCCTTATGTCTTCGATAGGAAATCGAAGTTTAACTTGTGGAAAAAAGTGGCCTCGTTCCTTATTTAGGGTTCCTTAGGTCAGCGCCCCGACTGTAATTCCATCGTCAGGGCGGATGAGCGTGCGCTGGCGGCTGGTAATCGGTGAGGCGGCGACGACGCGGCGCCGACCACATCGATTTAGCGTTGGCTGGCGTCGATTCGCGTCGGATCGCGCCGGCCAGAGCCGATTCGCGACAGCCAACAGGATGGTACAGTGGAGGCCCATGCCAAGAAATACCCTGCTTGCCTCCAGGGTGCCCTGGGCTTCTCGGGTTGCGATGAGTTTGCGATGGAAAGCATGACGTTCCCAAGACATCCATGGACGTCTTGGAGTTTCAGGGTTGGGTTTCTTGTGGAAGGTTTCTTGTGGTCGAGCCTTATATGGGGCCTGTCCCTTTAAAGGGGGGATATTCAAACATAGCCAAACATTATATTATGGGGACGATGGTTTAAGTATTTCTGTTGACCATTTTTTGTTGCTATTGTCATTTTTCATTCAAAATCCCCCTGTAGGAGAACAGGCCCGACTTAAGCTTCAGTCGAGCCCCTATTGTGTGAGTTGCCGCAGGAAGGCCACGAGCACGCGCCCCAGGCGAGCGCCCACGGAGGCCGCACGACGAAGGGCGACAAGGTGCCGACGACGGGGCGACGGCGGGACGGAGACCGACGGGGAGGGACCGCTTGAGGACGAGGCGACAACGACGACGGGACGAGACCGACGGGGAGGTCCTCCTCCTCCTGCTCCTCCTGCTCCTCCTTCTCCTCCTCTTACTCCTCCTCCTCCTCCTCCTCCTCCTCCTCCTCCTCCTCCTCCTCCTCCATTTCCTTATGAATAATTTCTCCCTGTCGCACCCCGAGGCCAGTTTTGAGGGCGGGCCGGGCGTTTCGCCGGAGACTTCCTCGCCAAGTGTGCTGCTGAAGCGTCGACATTGGCAACAGCTTCACAGGGGGAGGGCGGGAGGTTTTCAAAGTGTGGCTCTCGCGTTCGCGCGGCGCCCATTCGTTTCAAACGTTTACAAGAGTTTCATATAGTGAGGACGGGCCGTTTTCAAAACGTGGCTCTCGCGTTCGCGCGGCGCACATTCGTTTTAAGCAGTTGCAACATGTTCACGGGTTGAGGGCGGGTGGTTTTCAACATGTGGTTCTCGCCTTAGCGCGGCGCACATTCGTTCTTAAACAGTTGCAAGAGCTTCGCGGATTGAAGGCGTCTCTTTTTTTACATGTGGCTCTCGCCTCAGCGCCGCGCACATTCGTTTACAATAGTTGCAAGAGTTCTACGGATTCCCATCATGGTGTTTTGGACGGGTTCAGGATCGTGCGGGTGTAATTGTTAGGTTGATTCTCTGCGTTGAAGTCCCCGGAATGCTTTCTGGCACGATTCATGATCGTCAAGATGCAACAATCAGGTTGGTCCGTGACGTTGGAATCCCGAGAACAATGTTTTGGCATGCTTTAGGGTTTTGAAGCGGATGTCTTCCAACGAGGCAGTACCCTCAATGGACATGAACCGTCGTATGGGGCCTATGAAGAGGGAACTTGGAGGGAGGGTTTATTCCAGCATCGTTGATGATGTTTGGGTTTGCATTGGTCTTCCTCCTCTTTCTCCTCCTCCTCCTCCTCCCCCTCCTCCTCTTCCTCTTCCTCCTCCTCCCTGGAGCTTTGCGCGCGACGCAGAGCTCCGGGGAGGCCAACGGAGAATGGCCCGTGGAGAAGATCGGGGCAGAAGGGACCCCCTCCAATTCGAGCGATACGGGGGGGGGGAAGCGAGAAGGAGGAGGGTTTCTCAGAGGGCGGCGGAGCTTCTCATCAGCCCGCTGGCCTTCTGGGACGCTTTCTGTGTGTTTTTGGGGAAGGCTTGGAACACTTTTGAGAAGGCTGGGGAGTTTCCCGAGCCTTCTGAGAAGTCCCGCCCCCCTCCTCCTCCTCCTCCTCCTCCTCCTCCTTCTCCTTCTCCTCAGCCTCCTCCTCCTCCTCCTCCTCCTTTTCCTCCTCCTCCTCCTCCTCCTCCCTCCTCTCTTCCCGATGGGGCTGGCCGCCGACCATGGAGAGGGCCCGCCCTGCAGGTTCGGTCGACGGCGCATCGTTGAGCGGTGCTCTTCCCTCCTCCTCCTCCTCCTCCTTCCGCCTCCTCCTCTCCTCCTCCTCCCTTCTCCTCCTCCTCCTCCTCCTCCTCCTCCTCCCCCTGCTGTTGCCTCCCCTGAGGGCGGATGCGTCTGTGGACGACGCGGCCGTTGCGTTCGACGCAGTGCAGATCTGTCTGCGGTGTGCTCTTCTTCTAGAACGGGGCCCGCACGGTTCTCCATTCCCAGACCCTCTCGCGTCGCGAACAAAATCACGACGGGAGGTTTGTCGTTGCTTTTGCCTTCTAGGGGCCCTTTCCGGGTCTCTTCGGGCATCCCAAGCGGGGTCACAGTTGATGGGGTCGGAGGGTCGCGCCGCATCGCTGATGCATCGGCTTGATGTGAAGCCCGACTTATTCCACGCCGACGTCGCCGGTACATAGCCGACATCGCCAGGGCATCGCCGACGCATCGCCGATACATCGGTGATGCATCGGTGATGCATCGAGGATGCATCGGCGATGCGGCACGATCTTCCGATCCCATCTTCTCGGCCCCCCATTTAGGGGGATTCTTGAGGCGCGGATGGCCCAGACCACCTTGCGTCATGCATCAAGCACAGCGGACGTGTTTTTGTTCGTTTGGGGGCGCTTCCTTTGAAGGAGAAGCAGCGCCACACAAAAAACTTTTGGCGCTCCGAGCGGAGCGCCAAAAGTTTGAGTTTATGGTGTTTCGTCTTCTTTCTTCCAGGGGCCCTCACCAGGCCCAGGGAGCGCCAACAACGATTCAGGATGCCAGGTCCCCCCTTCGGGCGCGAAGACGACCGCGCTTCGCGCGTTGCGGTCTGGGCCAAAGCGGCTGCTCTTCTCCAGTGGGGTGGCGCGAGAGCGCGGGGGCGCGACGCTTATCGCACGTCGCGCATCGCGGGTGCGATGCGCGAAGTGCCGCTCGGGGGGTCGACTCGGTCCGCAGGAAGGGGCCCAGACTCGAGGCGAAGGAGACGGGGGTCGATGCAAACGGGGTTCGGTCAGAGCGCGGGGTCTTGCAGGATCCCGCAGAGCCAATGGCACACCGACCCGGGCTTGGGTGCAGCATCCTGCTTGGGCGTCACGTAATGGGGGGATCATAAATAGGGGGGTGGCGAGGGTGGTCCGAAAAGGTACCCAAATAGTACCTAAACGAGCCCCCTGGGGCTCTGGAGGGGCCCGAAAGGGGCACGAACGGGGACCGTTTCTGACCCCCCATTAACGACGCCCCCATTGAGCCATGCCCAACTGCAGGACCTTGCAGGACCCTGCAGGGCCTGGACTGATCCGGCCCCGGATTGACCCGGGTGAGCAGATCCCGGGCAGACCGCGCGGGGTCCACGTCGTGGAAGGTCCGCGACGTGGGGGGCCACCCGTCCCGCACGGCGGCCCCACTTTCTTTGGCCCGTGAGAGGTCTCCCAACGAACTCCATGAGCATGCAGGGTGCTCGCGATATCCTCGCGCGGGGAGCAAAGTCAGCTGCGAAGCTGAGCAAAACAAAGGATTCGAGCCATCGAGGAGAGATCCCC